GGGGGGGGGGGGGGGGGGGGGGGGGGGGGGGGGGGGGGGGGGGGGGGGGGGGGGGGGGGGGGGGGGGGGGGGGGGGGGGGGGGGGGGGGGGGGGTGAATTGTGAGATCCCACATCGGTTGGAGAGGGGAACGAAGCATTCTTTACAAGAGTGTGAAAACCTCTCTTTAGTAGACTTGTTTTAAAACTTTGAGAGGAAGCCCAAAAGGGAAAGTCCAAAGAGGACAATATATGCTAGCGGTGTGGGCTTGAGGTGTTACATAAACATTCTTGAAAGTGTTGCTTTTCTATGTGTACATGATGTTCTTCACCTCACTTAAGTTCTTCTTGCCTCACTTAGCATCTCGTCCTCAACATTATCTTTTCAAACCATATAAACTTAGTTATTTTTAACTCTACATTTTATCCCTTGCTGTTTTTGCAGGCATAGGGTTGTGCTTGGTCTTCAATGTTATTGCTATAACTGTCTGCTGGATAAGAGGCGGGGGTAATTACTTCACTATCAGTTTTCTATTTTTTGTGCAATGGGTCACTTTAAGCTGCAACAAATGGATTTTTTGACTGTTGTCACAAATTGCAGGAGTCACAATCTTTTTACTTGCTGTAATATATGCCATACTTGGAATTCCTCTTTCATATGTGCTATGGTATAGGCCTCTATACCGTGCTATGAGGTGAGGTCGAATAATCTCTATATTTCATTCAAACGGGTTAAGAAGCTCTCCTTTATTGGGTTTCTTCCCTCTGCCTCGTACTCGCCTTCCCTCTTTCCTCGTCTCTCGTTTAATTTCTATTGTTGCTTTTGCTCATTATTGTACTCTGTAGACATTATGCTGACTGCTGATACTATTTTGCATTTTTCATTTTATCAACTTGCAGGACAGATAGTGCCTTGAATTTTGGTTGGTTCTTCATGTTCTACGGGGTCAAATACTAAATTCTCTCATGATTTTTTTTTTCCATAATACATATATTTTTTAATCCCTTAGTACTCAATTAATTGAGTTTCTACCACCTTACAGATACACATCTTATTCTGCGTTTTTGCTGCCATTGCGCCCCCAGTTGTGTTTCATGGGCAGTCATTGACGTAAGTTTACGGCTATCATTTCATTTTAAGCTTTTAATATGCTTCAACTTCAAAATGTTCATGAAATGAGTTTCCTTTCTTCTGCCAACATATGAAAGTTTCTTCTTTAAGCTTTTTTTTTTCTTCCATACTGCTTGCCTTGTGCTAAATACATCCTTCAAACATTTTCAGGGGCATCTTAGCAGCAATTGACGTCTTCTCTCAACATGTCTTGGTTGGGGTAAGTTTCGAATAGATAAGAATATACGACTACAAATCTCGTAAACCATCTATTTACTTATGTATATAGAGAAATGGAGGATCTGATCAATTTCCACCATGATATAATGGTTAACATACAAATTGGACCATCTTTATTGCGTTATTATGCATCCTTTTAGATGGTGTATCATGTTTAAAAATTGAATTTAAACTATCTTACTTTGTCTTGACTCTCTCTGGCTAGTCATTATTTAGGCATAAGCACATGCAGTTTCACTATAGGTTCCTTGCAATATCAATGGTGTGGTTTTGTACGTATGTTGAGATTATTGGTTGTTGCTGGAACAATGGTTTTAAATGGAGAGAGAAATTGACAAATGTATTTTGAACATGCTTCTTCCGGTTCTTCTAGGACAGCCACAAAAACAATTTTAGTAACTTTTCGTCGGTATTAAATGATTGAGTGACATGATTGTTTTCAACTGCTATAACAATAGAACCATTGTTTGACCGTTGAATAAAACATAAATGTAACTGAAGATCAGATTCATATTATTTCTTCCAAGTTTGACTATTATTGTCTTTTTTTCTTTTTCAGATATTCTACCTCATTGGATTTGCCTTTTTTTGCTTGGAATCACTTCTTAGTTTGTGGGTTCTTCAGGTAAGACATTTTCGTTTGAAAATTAATCTTATAAACACGATTTTATCTTAGAATCGTAATTTATTTTTTATTTTTTCCTTGTGCATTCTTTCCTCTCAATAAATAAAATGCACAGAATATATTCATTTATAAGCTTTGTATTTTTCTGGGCAGAAAATCTATTTGTATTTTAGGGGAAACAAGTGATGAAGGAGAGAGCTTAGCTTATTATTAAGCAACGGGCGATGTTCTAGCGGTGGTTAAGTCTTCTGGGAGTATGGTCATTGTAATTTTAGGACGTTAGTAGTTTTTTTTTTTTACTTTTTGTTCTTTTTTATCGAGCTCAGAGGAAGATGTGGATTCTAAACTATGATTATATAAAAATATAATGATTTTGCGGGAAATTGCTTTTGTTTTTTTGTATGGCCATTCTTAAGATTATTTACTGTAGCTCTCCATATTCTTTTAATTATTCAAATATATACTTTCTAATCTTATGAATAATTAGAGTTTTCATTTAATTATTCAAATATATTTTCTAATCTGATGGATATATTCAAATATATTCAAATGTATAGTTTCTATTCCCACCGTTCTTCCTCCATTGTTTTTTTTTCTTCACAGATTTAAACTTCTGACCTTTAGAGTCGAGTTTAGATGTATAAATTGAGTATATCTCATGCATTATTCTATTTATCGTTTTTTTTAAGTTATACCTTGTACCACTCAAGTAATATTTTTTGCATATAAATTACAAGATTATGGACTATATATATGATTTTCTCGACTTCTTTCATTGAATTTGTGGCCCAAAGGACATTGAGAAACTGTACAATTCAAAGAGCCAAAGATTGAATAAATTGGATTTCAGAGTTTTCACCTCTTCTCCATTCTACACCTCTCACTCCTCATCCATAACCATCCAATCAGCCACTGCCACGTGGGGTCCAAAATATCAAAAACTGAATGAAATCCACCACAAAGTTCCTCTCATCACTGTTTCTCATCACCTCATCAAGAACTCCATCTTCAATCAGAAATCCAACATTTCGAATTCTCATAGGAAAAACAACTAGGAAATTACAGTTTTACCCCTCTTCCAACCCAAAATTAACAAGGAAATTACAGTTTTACCCCTCTTCCAACCCAAAATTAACAAGGAAAATCAGGGGTAGTTGAAGAAACTTCTCAGTAAGTTAACATACTTTTCAAACTGTCCTCTGTTCTCTTGATCCATCTTAATCTTTGAGCTCTAAACATTTCCTCTGCAAGGGAAAAAGGAAAAGAAAGGAGAAGGCCAAACCTATTCTATGCTTCACAACACCAATCTAGAGTAACCAAAGATCCAAGTTCAGACAATGGCAACAATCTCTACAGCCAAGCCCCTAAACTACACAAATTCAGTCTTCTCTTCATCAAGAACAAGCTTAGGACGTCACCAAGAACAGGTAATTTTCTTCACAACAGGCAAACAAGCCAGCAAGAGAGGCAAAGCCAGCACAACCCCATGGCTGATAACCTGCTCAGCAGGCGACCAACAGACAGTTGTGATCGGTCTAGCAGCAGATTCAGGGTGTGGGAAGAGCACTTTCATGAGGAGGCTAACCAGTGTGTTTGGAGGTGCAGCAAAGCCACCAAGAGGTGGAAATCCAGACTCCAATACACTCATAAGTGACACTACAACTGTGATATGTTTAGATGATTACCATTCGTTGGATAGAACTGGAAGAAAAGAGAAGGGAGTTACTGCACTTGACCCAAGAGCCAATGATTTTGATCTCATGTATGAGCAAGTTAAGGCTCTCAAAGATGGAATTGCAGTTGAGAAGCCTATTTATAATCATGTCACTGGTCTTCTTGATCCACCTGAGCTTATTAAGCCCCCTAAGATCCTTGTCATTGAAGGCCTACACCCAATGTAAGTTATTTATGGAATCCAATACGTCGTCTACGAGGTCTATGAACTGCTGCTTAGTCAATTAGTTATGAAATACAGATAACTCTAGGCGTGTTCTCAATATCTTTGTGTTGAGACATAAACCGTTAAAATATCATCAACCAATAAAGTCATTCCCAATAATCGCATGAGACAATTGTTTGTGCATTTTAGGAATAATAAATGGTTAGATATTTTCGGAATAAATTATCTGGCCTTTGCTATAAATACCCCTTCACCCTACCAATGTTTTCATCCCGAAAGAAATACAGATCAAAGTGTAGTAGTATTCTACAGAGTATCTTGTAATCTCTTCACGATTGGTCTTAACAAAGAGTACGTATTTCCCACAAAGAGTTGTGTTCAACATAAATTTCTCCAATCTTTTTTTTCTTTCTTTCTTGAGAAAAGGGGTGAAATGAATTGAATAGATATATTCATTTTTACAACTTCCTTGTTCTTCGTCCTGCATTCATTTCTTACGAAGGGATCAATTGAAGTGAAGAATTTTCAACTCTTTGCATTTTCATATGTTTTTTCTTATTTTTATATATCTCTGTTCATCCAAATCTAGCTTTCCGCCTACTTATGAAGGGATTATTTGAAACGAAGAGTGTTTTCCCCTTCGCATCTTCGAATGTTTTCTTCTCAATCAAACCATTCCATTTCCACACTAGAGAGGGAAAAGAATTCGCACTAAAATTTTATGAAATTTCATGCATTAGAGCTATGTTTATGCAGGTATGATTCACGAGTTAGGGATCTTTTAGACTTCAGCATTTACTTGGATATCAGCAACGAGGTCAAATTCGCTTGGAAGATTCAGGTATGCATTGATCAAATACAATATGAATTAGTAGGCAGAGTATTCTAAATCACATCTCCAATTAGAAATTGAAATCAAAACGATTGCAGAGAGACATGGCAGAGAGAGGTCACAGCCTCGAGAGTATCAAAGCAAGCATCGAAGCGCGAAAGCCAGATTTCGACGCGTATATCGGTAATAATTAAGCTTCAGAAATTCAAAATCCGCCATAGCTAACAAGATTCAAGAAAGAAATTAAGAAAAACTTACTTGAATCTGAATGCGATTCTTCGATTTTTGTTGTCGGATTTAGATCCGCAGAAGCAATTCGCCGATGCGGTGATCGAAGTGCTGCCGACGCGATTGATTCCAAATGACTACGAAGGGAAAATTCTTAGGGTTAGATTGATAATGAGAGAAGGAATCGAGCATTTCAATCCAGTTTACCTGTTCGATGAAGGCTCTACGATCTCGTGGATTCCTTGTGGGAGAAAGCTTACATGTTCTTATCCTGGAATCAGACTATCCTGTGGCCCTGAAACTTACTTCGGTCATGAGGTAATCTTCCTAACTCATGCATTTCATGCAACAACAAGGGATTTTTTGCTCTCCTTTTTCAGGGGTAAATTAGTAAGTTCATGTTTAAATTTTGGACAAAACTTTAAAAATAAATTAATTTTTTAGGTTGGTATCTCTCAACCTTAAAAAAAAAAATCTTATAAATTTATTTTTTTTAATTTATAAATAATAAATTATTAAAATTTCAAATTTATGGTTTTTTAAAAAATTTATGGTTAGGGTTTTGTTAGTCCTAAGAATTAATTTTATTTCTAATATATTAATTAATTTTTAAAATTTTTAATTATCAAAGATTTATTAAAGACAAAATTTTAAATTTTAAAGTTTAACTTAGACTTAAGAAATATATATATATATATATTTATTTATTTATTTATTAATTAAGTAACAATTTATTTTATGCCAAATACTTTGATTATCATATTTTAAAATTTGTATCGATTTAATTAATTGTAGAATATATTGTTAAAATTTAATGAGATGTCTTCGATAATTTGTTCGACGAATTAGCTTAGAGTGTTTTAAAGAAAAAAAAATTAAGGTCAAATGTGTTTATAAATTACTAAAAAAAAAAAAAAAATTGTTGCATTAAAATTGATATACTTAATTTTGTTGAGAATTTTTAAAGTAGGATTAAATTATTATAAATTTTAAAATACAAGGACTAAATTGTTATATAATAAAGTTTAAAACTCGGAAGAATTACAAGGTTTTTCATTAGTCACCCTTGTAAATTTATTTGGATGAAAACCCAACACAAACCAACTCGTGGGCCCGTACGATATCGTAAATTCACTGATAACGGTCGGTTTTGATGGTAATTTTCAGGTAACTGTATTGGAGATGGATGGGCAATTTGATAAATTGGATGAGCTTATATATGTAGAGAGCCATCTAAGCAACATTTCCACCAAATTTTATGGTGAAATTACACAACAAATATTGGAGCATTCTGAATTTCCAGGAAGCAATAATGGAACAGGCCTTTTTCAGACCATCATTGGCTTGAAAATTAGAGACATTTATCACCAAATTATAGCCTCCAAACAACTATCTCAAACTCAATCAGCAAAGGCTTAAAAAGTCGACCCGGTTTGTGTGAGTCGAGAAATTGAATTTTTTAGTTCAACAATGGTCGGGTGGAGGATGGAACCGTATCGATTGTTGGAACGGTAGTTAGTAGTTTATCTACTGAACTATTCTTGAATTGGTTTGGTTTTGGTCATAGTTAAAAATAAGTTTTTTTTCAACTTATTTAGAATGATCTTCGCTCTCATGAACAAGTTGCTTCTTGTATTGGAGATTTTTGTTTCTCAACTTTAATCTCGGCTAATTCTTCTTCCTCTACAGACCTGAAAATTGGATGCAAGTATGCATCTGATAAGAATGCTTTTACGTCGAGGTCAGGTTCCGTGCTCCGCTCCATTGTATCTTTGGCCATTGCTTCCTAAACGAGCAAAAGAAAACAATAGCATATGTAACTTTAGGGAAAACCGTGAAAGTTCATGGATATTTTTTAAACAAAGTACTAACGGTTAGAGTAATTTTTAACTTTTTAAAAGAGTTTAAAGATTAACGATACTTTTAAACGTATGAAATCGTTCTAGACTTGAAGAACTTAGAATTTACCTCGAGAGGGTATTTACGAAAGGCGGGTTCGAACCGGTTCTTGCAGTACTTGTGGAAGAAAAATGTCAATATCGGTAAGGCGACGAGCAAGGGAGTAGAATTGGCTGCCTTTTTTGTACTGAGCAAGCCCAATAAAAGTAACTGAGATATCAACAAGCTTGCTATGATGCGGCCATGGACATGGGGCCAAAAGGCACCAACACTCTCATATTGCTGATTATATACATTGATGATCTGCACAAACAAACCAGCATTGACAATGCATGATTCAGCAAGACAAAAACTACAGGATTGAGAAAAACCGAGTACGTCAACCGTGTTACTTCATGATCATGACAATAAGATAAAATATGTATTGAAGTGTGCCTAGAGATGTCCACGGGACAGGGACAGGACAGGGGGTAGACGGACAATACAACCCTAGTTTTTGGTAGAGGTGTACATGGTTCGGATTTGATTGGGTTGAGAGAATTTTTTGGACCAACCCAAAAGTTTGGGTTACTTCACAATCACAACAATAAGAAAAAATATGTATCCAAGTGCGCCGAAAGGTGTCCATGGAGAAAGGACAAGGGCAGTGCAAGGGGTAGATGGACAATACAATCCTAGTTTTAGGTAGGGTTGTACATGGCCCGGGTTGGGATGGGTTTCGGGACAGCTATTCGAAATCTTAGTGAAAGACTAGATTTGTTATCCCATGTTTGCTGAGGAAATTTTTTGGATCAACCCAAAACTTCGGGTTGGTTGGATTGGTAACCCAACCCAAAACTTTGGGTTACTTCACGATCGCAATAATAAGAGAAACTATGTATTGAATTGTGCCTAAAGATGTCCACGGTACAAGGACAGGGCAGGAGGTAGACAGAGAATACAATCCTAGTTCCCGGTAGGGGTGAAAATGGTCCAAGTTGGGTTGGGTTGAGGAAATTTTTTGGATCAACCCAAAAGTTTGGGTTGGTTGGATTGGTAAAGTGTGCCTAGAGATGTCCATGGGTAGGGACGGAGAATACAATTCTAGTTTCCGGCTCAATTTATCTAATAGGAAGGAATCTCTCCCTACTATCTCTTCGTTCCCAATTTAAATAGGGATTCCTCGCCTTGGGAAAGACCCTATAGGACTTTGTAGGGTAAATAGACATCTCTAAGTGTGCACTATTCTCAGTTCAAGCAGGGATTCCTTGCCCTGTTCGGAGCGGGTCCCTACAGGACCTTGTAGGGTAAATGGACATCTCTGAGTGTGCACTATTCTCAGTTTTAATAGGGATTCCTTACCCTGTTTGGGACGGGTCCCTACAGGACCTCGTAGGGTAAATGGACATCTTTGAGTGTGCACTATTCTCAGTTTTAATAGGGATTCCTTTCCCTGTTCGGGGCGGGTCCCTACAGGACCTCGTAGGGTAAATTGACATCTCTGAGTGTGCACTAATCTTAGTTTTAATAGGGATTCCTTGCCCTGTTCACAGCAGGTCCTTACAAGTCCTTGCGGGTAAACGGACATCTCTAAGTGTGCTCGAGTACTTTTGCTCTTTCTAATGAGTACAATGAAAATACTAAATAGTCAAATAACTCGAGTACTAGATAACGAACCTGATGTCGGTAAACCAAGTATGCAAACGCGAAGAAGACGAGTATAAACGGGAGAAGAATCGGGGTGACGACGGCGTAGACAATTCCGAGTAGAAAGTACAATTGTAAGGTTGGTAAAGTTTCAGGAAAATCCACACCTTTTGGGTTCATTGCCTTCTCTCTATCTCTATCAGTTTTCACCAAAAAGAGATTCTTGAGATGAAAGATGACCAACGGTTTCAATCGAAGAATCTCGCTCGCCATTCCGGCCCATCCATCGACCATTATGTACGTAATGAAGAACGTCGCCTTCATCGGTATGGAAACTCCGATTGTCCGAGGAATTCTGTAAAAAAGTGCATAAGAAGGCTTAATATCATGGTGAAATGCATATCATTGAATGTAGGGGGTGAGGCATTACTGTGTAGGAGATTGGTGAATGAAGGCATCCAGTTGCTCAAAAGCTGTACCAGTCACAATACTTCCCAAGAACACATTTACCAGCATGAAGTAATAGTACTTAGCCGCTGCCCTTCTTTCCAGCATAGAAACTGCTACATGCCCCTCAATTTTGGACATGATCATTAGAACTTTTGGCAGTATAAATAGAAAGATTTTGAGAGCCAAACCAGGAAGGAAGCCCTGTAGAAACGATTTTACGAGCTTCCTGCGTAACACAAGAAAGTAATCAAATGGATCAAAACCCGAGCAGTAGAGATGTCTATTTGTCCTGCTGGAATCTGCACTGAATAGTGCAGGGAATCCTGAAAAAAGGAGAATGAGGGAGGGAGAGGGGAAAGATTTCTTCCCGTTAGATGTACGGGGCCAAGGACGGGGATTGTATTCTCCATCCCCGTTTCTGTCAAATTCCTAGCATACGAAGATAAAAATGTATATCGTGGATGAGGAAGGCTTCCCTATATATATATTGCAAGTGTCCATTAACCCCGAGTAGTGTGGGAATCTCTGTTCAAAATGAGAATGGGGAGAGATTTTTTCCCATTTGAACGGGAATGGGGGAGAGAGTAGGAAGAGATTTCTTCCCGTTATATGTATGGGGCCACGGACGGGGCCCAATTCCCATTCCTGTCCCACCATATCTCCAATTTTTTACATATGAAGATAAAAGATATATATCAAGGATGGGAAAGACTTCCCTATCTATCTCTGCCCTATGGACATCTCTATGGAGCACACATTCAGAGAAAACAATGTGCAATTCAGACGGACGGATTCTTCCCATTAGATATATGGGGCCAATTCCTAGCATATGAAGATAAAAATATATATAGGGGATGGGGAAGGCTTCCCTATATATGTATTTTGCAGGTGTCCATTAACCCTGCAGGGACTCACCTCGAGTAGTGCGGGAATCCTCGTTCCAAAAGGAGAATGAGGAGAGATTTTTTCCAGTTTGATTGAACGAGGAATGGGGGAAGGAGTAGGAAGAGATTTCTTCCCATTAGACATTTGGGGCCAAGGATGGGGATCCCCGTCTCTGCCCAATTCACAGCCCTGTCCACTATACCTCCAAGATAAAGATAGATATCGGGAATGGGGAAGGCTTCCCTATCTCCGCCCTGCCTTATGGACATCTCTATGGAGCACTAATACAAAGATAACACTATGCATTTCCCAGGGACGGAATTCTTTTTGTTAGAAAGGAAGAGATTTATTCCCATTAGATATACGGGCTAGGGACGGGGATTGTATTCCCCATCCCCGTCTCTGTCCAATTCCCAGCCCTGTCCCACCAGATCTTCACTTTTTTACATATGAAGATAAAAATATATATCAGAGATGGGAAAGGTTTCCTATCTCCGCCCAGCCTTATGGACATCTATATAAAGCACAAAATACAGAGAAAACAACATGCAAGATATCAGCGTCATAATGACTTACAATTCTATGACGGGTCTTAGGAAAGGAGCCACTCGTTCGAGACCTTCCAAATTGGCAAGTGATTGTACGAACGCAATCGGTATCATATAGAAGAACACGAGAGCGAAAACCGACAACGATATGAGTAGTTTTCTGATGCTAACAGAAACAAATGGTATAGCCAAATTCTGCCAATAAACATCATGAGGCTCAGGAGCCCAATTAGTGAGCCATAACGTGGGATTCTTACTCTGCTGAGTCTGTGCACAAACGGCAGCACCCCATCGAGACTTAAACGAAACAAAAGAAACAGGCAATATTGCTTTCGGATCTTTGACAATTTTCGGCCTCTCCAATGCCATCTAACACATGGGGTTCACATCAATTTAGAATGCTTTATAATGAACAAAAATTTAAGGACTATATGGAGAACTAGCTTACTCGGGCATCGAGATCCTTCATTTGTCGTTTGTAATACTCGATCGAGTCGACTCGTTTACCGCAAAGTCCAAACCATCCTGCCTGAAAGAAAGAGATCAATAGTTCAAATCTCTGGCCATGAAAACGAACTGATTGGTTTGAAGGCTGGGAAGTTGGGTACCCTTCGAGTTGGTCTCTGATCGGGGTGCCGTTCGAACTTCAAGAGATTGTAGTCCAACCAGTTCTGGAGCCTTGCTCTCTTTTTTGCAAGTTTAGCAAGCTTGTTGGCATTATATACAGCCTAAAAACAAGAAATGAGAAAAGATGGCCATGAATCATGCCTTAAATATATCTAACTATGGTATTATGATTGATTACCTGATGAGAAAGATAGTGTTGGGGATGATTTTTGTGGAAGTACTGATCAACTATATCTGAGTTCGAGCGACCCGATGAACGTGGTACGTTTCTAACCAACACCTGTAAAATATATATAAAAGAGAGATGTCAGTTCGGGGGAGGGAGTTAGGGAGAAACTTTTCCTCATTAGTTAAATGGGGCGAGACATTCCCCATCCCGTCTTCTCTCTCCACCACCGCACCTTATTTAATATATATATATATATAAATAAGAGATATATTGTAATATTGAAATTTGAGTTTTTAAAAGAATTTTGTGAAGATAAGGATTGACTCACAGTAAATTGATCAGCACATCTACGTTGCGACGCCAAGAAATT